AGTATCCCGAGATACGACGATATTATTGTTTCCACCCTTGCATATTATAAACGCGTAACGATCGCGGCGCTCGCAAGTTTGTCCTCTCCCGCGGGCATGCCCTCTCCGCGGCGGGGCTTTAATTGTCCGAGGGGGTGGGAACGGGCGTTCCTCGGGAGACCTCGGCGCGGGCGGAAGGCGAAGACGGCGGAGCCGCGTCCGTTCGAGGGACGAGGGATCCCCGGACGATCGATGGAGACGAGTCTCGCCACGCGGACAAGACGCGAGACTTTGCTCGAGCGTAAAGACGGCGACGGGGGCAATAGTTATCCTGCGCGGATTACTCGATCCTCGGCTACGGTCTACAAGGGTTTCCCTCCTACAGGATTTAAGACGGACTTAGGCCTTGTTCCGGTCGCTGACCACTTTGCTTCCCATTAACCATTAACGGATCCAACGAAAATAGGATTAGATAGGAGAGAGCGCTAGTCGGAGCGCACGACTAAAACAAACCCGCGTCGGGTTTCTTCGCCGAAAAGGCGCGATCGCGGATTATCCGCGCAACTTGTACCTCTTCTTCTTCTTCTTCTTTTTTTCCTCCTTCACGCGTTGCCGGTTTGGTAAATAAAGAAGGGACGAGGAACCCGTGTTCGGCGAAGAGTTTGACGTGTAATTACGGCCACGGAGTTTACGAATGTCGCAGAGTTTACGAGCGTGTGCGGCCATCGATCGAAATGACTTATCTTCGAGTCATGGCAAATATTGGTGCATGTGTCTTCCTCTCGATGCTTTCCCATTCCAGGCCAACTCCCTCCCTTTCCGTTGCTATAATTACGCTATCGAACAGTCCGAGGCGTCGTCATTTTATAGTACGCAATACCAACGACCGTATTGCGAGCGTGTTCCTATTATCGATTCGAAGCTTCGACCCAACCTTCTTCCTCTTAACTAATCCTTTTCGCGCGCCAACAACAATCGAGACACGCTCTTAACAGTCGCCCCCCTCCCTACTACTGCTACAACTTTGCAACTTTCTCTCTCTCTCGAGTTTCGAGATAAGGAAAGTAGACGATCGAAGGAGGATACCGAAGGCAGATGGAACTCGGCGGGCTCCTACGTCACGGCCGATCGTAGGTGAATAGTTTCGATATCTCTCGTTTCGCGGTCGAGAGAGAGAGAGAGAGAGGACGCGGGACTTCGGTGGCCATATTCGACGAACCAACTCGGCCGGAGATACGGCGAAGAGCGTTTTCGCGTTTCGAGATAATCCTTTCTTCCTTCCTTCCTTCGGGAACAGACACTCTCTCTCTCTCTCTCTCTTTTTCTCTTCCTCCCTCCCTCTCCCTCTCCGGGATATCTCGCCGAGTTATTGCACGACCGTCGCTTAGAAACCGCCGCTTCTACGATATCGCCGAGCCTTCGACCCGGTACAACAACCATCCTCGTTTTTCCTCCTCCGTGCACGAATCTTTACGAAACTTTACCTGGAAAATCGAGTACCCCTCGAGAATAAAGATACGGACGCCAAACGTATAACGATACCTAATGATCCAATAATTAACGGGACTCAAATATAATAAGAAATCGAAAGAAATAAAGTCGAATGAAAAAGAGAGGAAAAGAGGAAAAGATAATTTTAGCCGGTCAATCGAAGCCAATCGAATCGATCCCGCGCACTCTCGCACTTGAACCACCGCGTGCGTAATCGCCCTGGTCCCGCCTTTTCCTCCTCCCCCTCTAAC